ATATATGAAATGATGCTTTCCAATGTACTAAGTGCAACTCATCCATAAACTGTGATATTACATGAACCGCATATCATTACTCTTGACTCGTAATCGTCAGTGTCCTGGATCGGTGTACAGAGAGCTAGTATCGGAGAAGAGGTAATAATTTTGTTCAATCCGTATTCCACAAAGCCTCTATCTTCCGAAGCAACTGGTCAAATAGCCTTCCCTAACTTATAGGCACACCCCATCCCGTACTAAAGTGAAGAGCGAACAATCGACATATGATTGAACAAACCCAAACCATACAAGAGTCGATGTGAACTAGTCAACCCACTTTAGCTGGATCAGATGTTTGAAACCTCGCAAAGAGTTTTATTATATTTCTTTGGACAAATCTCCATGTAATAAACACAAATGGACTTCTCAATTCACACCCATGTGAAACAATTCCTTAGCACCGTTCTAAGGAATACATTATTCACCAAATCGATAATCCCAGAAGTAGACCTCACTTCATCAAAAGACTGATAAGAATACATAATTCCCTTCATATTCCAGATTGCTGAAAACTTAAGCGGGAAAGAGATTTAACATCAAATTAAGTAATAAGTTCCGAGTTAAAAGAATATCCTCACACACTTTGATACAAAGCATGAGGCAGACTTAGTGAATTAAGTGGCGATCCAGCCACCAACAACACTCCTGATATAATGCTTCTTAAGCTTTCTCCGTCGAATGTTCTTTCCCCTGCGCATTGTATTCACTTAGTACTCCATCTATGCAGTTACTAAGATTACTAACGTGAGAAATAGAAAACTTACCAGTACTGGTTGTGTAATACAAATTCATCCGTTGCCACTTTCTTCCCATCATCATTGCGGTTCCAGTGGTATATAGCGTGTGTTCGGTTCTTTATATCCAGAGTAGAGTGGCCATAGCTAGCTTCCCGAAATGCAGAATAATCTGGCTGTGGTTCCGTAAACCTGAAACAAAAAGGGCACATTTTCTCATCACCCAATACTAGTAAATAATAACAACTCTACAGCTCTACTACATATGAGACTTTCGCAACTTTTATTATCATTCTGATCAGCTCTGTGGATCTTCATCAGCGGCTTAGCTATAGGTCTTATTATACCTCCTAGCCTAGAACTGCGTGTAGCAGACTAGAGCTGTTGTGAGTTGCTTAAAGAGCAGTTAGCCAGGTCTGGGGTTGTAAGGATATCTCGGCAGATCGTTTTCGGGTGTGTATTTTCTAGGTTGTGGTTAGGCATTTGGTGGAGAGTGTCTCTCCTTAGTCAAGTCTTATAGCGAATTGGAATGAGAAGCAGTTTTATAACATCGTACTTATAACATTCCAAGGCTCACGCTTTTTGTGTTCCAGTAATCTAATTGAATCTGATCATGTTACTAACCTTCCAGCCAGACCTTCTTGATTTCCTCCGTCTCCAACTGTGATATAAACAGGCGCTGACTTATCTGGAACTGGGTAACGATCTCCGCTTGACACGTTATACCGCACATTTGATATTCGGTACTGAGATGGAGAAACAAAACAAAGATTTTACTAAACACAATGAAACATATATATTCTATGCGGAGCTTATGGTAATACGAAAGTACCGATCTCTCGTAGGCATGAACATGCCCAGCAAAGATTACATCAACTTTGTGTTGGACAAACCACTCCTCAAAAGCTGCTCGCATGCTTTCACCCTCCATGAAATGTGCTTCATTACTGTTGTATATTGGGACGTGCATCAAAACAATTAGCCAAGGTGTTTTCTCCCTATCAACTCTTGTAAGCTCTTCACTAAGCCAGTGCCATTGCGGGGTATACTTCACTGTACAACACACAGAAAGAGTCATGCTTAACCACTCATTTGGGTAAATCTTTTACTTATAAGAAAGAGTCATGCTTAACCACTCATTTGGGTAAATCTTTTACTTATAAAGTAAAGAACAAAAAAGTTAGAAGCAGGGGATGTTGTTGAGCAGTTAAGGTATTACCAAAAGGCGAATAGCTGGAGAGGACAATGATATGAGCAGATGCACGCCTAACAGCGTACCAAAGAGGACTGCTACTTTTTGAGGCTAAGTAAGGCGTAGTGTAACGCTGAAGGTAATTCCTGAAAGGTGTCACCTCCCCCTGTAAATGTTTTACATGTTTGAGAACTCTTAGGAGAAGCAAAAACAGAAGTCAAGCGCACAATCGGAATAGAAATTACAAGTAATAGCTATAATGAATTTTTCATTTTCCTGTCCTATATTTAATCATATCAAAATTCATGTAACCAGTTCATTTATATCTTCTAATCTTCAGCATACTTTCTTAAGAACCTTTTCCATTGATCTGTCTGAGAAACTGTTAAAATGCAAAAACCGTAGCAGTTCGAACCACTCACTATTTTAAATTCCATAGGAGTCGAATTTATGCATAACCTATATGTTACTTGGCTAGGTAGAAAGTAAGTACAAGATGAATCAGATATTAACCATGTATGGCATGTAATCTACTTCATGATTTCCTGCAGACCAAAGCCACGGTTGATAAGCGGTACTACGCTCCACAAAACGACCCCAGCTATCCCATCTCACACCAACGTCATTATACTGATATCTATCAGCATAAGAAAGATCTCCAAGAAATAAAACAGCCTGAGCTCCACTCTCCATGTAATGTTCCAACGTGGATAACGAGTTGAATGTCTGACCCATATCGCCTACAATTCGTAAGTAAAACTGAGTTTGGCTAGTACAGAGCTAGAGAAACAAGTCAAGTAACTCTCATTGAAACAATACTACAAACTACCTCTGCAATGAATCTTAAAGCACAGTTGCATTTAGATCAAACTACTAACCTATAATACCAAACTTGTAGGAAGCATCTGGATGTACATGTGGTGGTGTAACAAACCAAAACTCTCGAGAAGATTCACCGCTTTCAATCTTGTAATAGTATTTTGTATCATGCTGATAACAAAAAAAAGAAAATCAGCATTTGTATGTAATCTAACCACCAAATATAAAATATAAACTAAGATACCTCAAGGTCAGAGACAAGGCAGTGATGAATAAAGCCAGACTTATACTTGTAAAACGTGTAGTTATGGTAAGTCCCTTGAGCAACAAACTCATATTTCCCCTGAACCGCACCGTAATGTACTTGGCTAGAACCAGGTTCATCAGGTGTAACCCAAGAGATGATAACAGCTTTACCATCATAATCACCTTGAGTTATGTGTACTTGTTGTGGTGCATTATATCCTTTTGGGACTTTGAAAACATGATGATCAAGTGGTATATCAACCGCAGGCCATTCAGATCGAATAAAACTACTTGTGATTCCAGATTCTCCTCTATATAACAACAATACTGAGCTCAAGAACACAGAGATTATCACCAAATGATTCATCACGTCACCAAATCTTGACTCAGTTTTTTTACCTGTAGCCACAAAGAATCGCGAATCTGAATGTTGATTTCAAATCTAGAATCAAGCAAATCTTAAGATACAATCTGAGAAATTCGTTGTGATTTTAAGATCTGAAGAAATCGAGGAGAGGTTATGGATATTACCTGAGAGATGAAGGAGATGACATTTGGGAGATTATCGGCTCGATGACATTAATAAGCCCGTCGGATATGTATGAATGATCTATCGAAGAAGGTGACCACATACGTGGAGATTTATGATTGGTTGAGGGAAATGGATTGGGTCTTAAGCATTAAAGTGCATAACGTAACCTTTTAACTAATTTGATATTTTTAGAAATAGTTTGGTGTCAAGAAAAAGTTTGGACTCAAGACTTCCACGATATCGCTGGAGAAAAAGTTTCTAAGAGCATCTACGACGCAAAGTTTTTAATTTGATTTTTAAGTTTAATTATATTATATATATATATATATATAAGTAGGATATAGCACTTCGGTTTAAAAAATATAATAGTTCATGCGGAGAAATATAAAAGAATTGATTTGGCTATATATGTCACCAAAGAGTAGTTATCTTTTTCGGTCAAAGGTCTTGATTCAAGAAAGAATTTCACAGTTATGAGTGTTTGAACTGGAATAGTTTTATGATGGGTGACCTTCCGATAAATGATTGTCGGAACTATGCGAATGAGGATAAAGCAAGAGAAAATATCATGTGGTAACAAGTCTTTAAAGCTTCTCGGACGTGGCATACCGACCGTCGGACAGGGGTGTGCTCATGGGGCCGAGAGAGGACGTAGGATCCACATATAGGAACGGTCGGGGCGTTACATAGGGCTTCACTCTCCTTTTATTAGTCTATTAGAATAGTTATTCGCGTAAGGCGCAGCAAGCCGGCAAAGATATAATGGTGATAAGAAAAATAAATTAAGAATTTTAGATTTATTTTAGTGAATTTAAAAAGTGCCAAACTTATTACCCAAAATTTATGAAATATTTACTGAGATGTTATAGAAAGTTGGAATATTGTTAGAATATCATACATTCTCTAAACATTACTTATATATTTTGTGCAATTGTGTAATTACAATTAACACTCTTGATTAGTTTTTTTTAATTAAGATTTTTTATTATTATTTATAATTAAAAATGATTAGTGAAAATTATGATAATCCACGTCATTAAGAGAAAAAACCACGTCATTAAGAGGAACGTTTCGGTTTCCCTCCCTGTTATTGTTTCGCGGCAAATTTACATGTTACGGCTGAGTTATAATGCTATACATAAGACGAAAGGTCGCGAAAATCTACATATTACGGCTAAGTTATTACGAATATACATATTTTTCATAGCCTTGTTCGAGAACATGTAGCTCAGCTTTAACTGATGGCTCAACTCATTCAAACCATAGTCATCGAACACCAACTTTACAAGCTTGTCGTGCGTTCTTTCCGCATATATTTGCACAACTCTACACCCTCTATCGTTAGTGTTAAATACAAATTCTTTACCCAGTTACCACAAATAACAATTTCTGAAACGGATTGATTATATCGGGCGAAGGATGTAAGAAAATGAAGAAGAATGAGGAAGACGATGACGAATTGGAAGTTCCAGTGATGTGAAAAACTCAGGTGAAAAAGACGAGTTGAAAAAAAGATGTTTCGTATTTCTTTTGATGATGATGAAATGAAATGTTGCATCGACGTAATTTTTTAATTGATGAAGTAGCAAGTAAGCCACCAAACGAACATGAAAATTTGCCTAAATAAATTAGCCATTAAACAAAACTAGAAGTCAGTCGCAACATGAATACTATTACAGTAATTAAAAAACAAAAAAAACGACAAGTTAATTCAGTCGTTTAATGTTGTAACTCAACCGACAATCTTTAACTCATCTGTATTGTTTAATAAGTCGGTCATAATTGCTTGCTATTAAAGTAATTAATCTTTTGCTACTAAGTCAGCCGTAACTAGGCAGAGTTATCCGTTAATCCAGCTCATTACGGCTGATTTATGACACTCGAACATAAATCAGTTGTAACGACATCCCATAACTAAGCCGTCTTTGATAACTCAGCCAGTCGAAAAAGTTAACTCAACCGTGTCGAGAGAATAACTCAGCCAAGTTTTGACAATCAACCATTAGGTAAAAACTCAGCCGTAACTTAGGCTGGGTTATTCTTGAAATTCTCATAACTCAGACAAATCTCTTTAAGTCAGCCGTAATGTAGGTTGGATTATCTCATAACTCATAAAAATTTTCATTAAGTCAACCGTAATTCTAGGCTCAGTTATACTATAAGTTAGCTGTTTTCTCATAACTCAGCCATTTTTTCTTAAATCAGCTGCAACATATCGTAACTCAGCCGTCCCTGCCATTATAATATTTTACGGCTGAGTTCATTAATACATGTCAGCGATTACTGACGTGGCGACGCGGTTTTGCTAACATGGCAATGAAACTGAAAAATCGATTTGGGGATTTAGGGATTTGAAGATTTGGGGATTTTGAGATTTAGGGATTGAAAAATCGAATTGGGATTTTGTGGTTTGTGTTAAGCACAAAACGATGTCGTTTTAGATAATAACGAAATGATTAACTTCTGTTATCGTTTCTGTTAACGACATATAATGTTGTGGTGTTTTTGGCTTTTTGGCCAGATCAACGTTTTTGTATTTGTAAAATGGCTGGTCAACGTTTTTGTGTTGTTTTATTTGGCCACATACGAAATTCACGTATTAAATGGTCAACATTATCATATACACATGATATATCACATGAACAAACTAATATTTTAAGTTTAGTTATAGATAGTTCAAGATTACCTATTACATATATTTTTATGGGCACATATCGCTAGTGTACACTACTTACCAAAATTCATAATGCATGAAAGTTATTTTACTAACGGCTAATATCGCTAGTGTACACTACTTATCTCACCAACAACCCATGAGGGTAAAAAGTATTGTCACCAAAAACTATTTCCCAAGATTTTCTTTCGATGAAACTAAATTAGAAGGATTACCGACTTATAAATCTCTTTTATTCAAATTAGAAAACATGCTTATATTGCTCACTAAGATCCACATCTAATCAAATCAATGATAATCAATAAAATATTTCTAAAACATTATTAAAATCTCGAGAGATTGAAAACACATAAAAATAAAAAACACGTTAAAAAAACTGATCATTGTAAAGTATACGGTCATCTTAACACAAGCAAAAATATTAATCCATCAACATTGGATAAACAGACTAACAACATTTAGAATCAAGCAAATCTGAATAAATCGAAGAGAGGTTATGGATACCTGTGTTGGATAAGCTTGAAAAGAGTAACTTGAGGAGTAAGTTATTAAAGAAGAGAAAAGGAAATTAAGCTTTAGTGTTCTAGGAGTTATCTAGAATAATGTATTTGGAAATATCTAATTACAAATCCTAGGATACATCAAGGTGTGATAGAACTTATGAGATTTGAGAGAGATCGAGACTTTAGGTTTTGAGAGAGTTTCCTAAAGATACTAAAAAGAGAGATATTCGTTTATACTTGTGTTCTTAATCTTTCTTGAATACTAGATTTGGTATCAGAGCCTTGCAACGATGTCAGAACTCGCTGTTTCAACGGGAAGAACAAAAGAATCTGGAGCATCTACATCGATTCAATTCCCTATGCTTAATACAACAAACTATACAATATGGGCTTTAAAGATGAAGATCGCTCTCAAGGTTCACAAAGCTTGGGAAATCATTGAAACAGGAGAACCGTGTGAAGAGAATAATAATATAGCCATGCATCTCTTGTTCCAATCCATACCCGAGGTGATGACATTACAAATTGGAGAGTTGGGAACAGCGAAGAAGGTCTGGGACGCAATAAAAGAAAAACATGTTGGAGCAGATAGTGTAAAAGAGGCAAGGTTGCAGAACCTAATGAATGAATTTGATCGTCTCAAGATGAAAGAATCTTAAACCATCGATGCTTTTTCTGGAAAATTGCCTGAGATAGCTTCAAAGTCAGCTACTTTGGGAGAGAACATAAAACAGAGAAGTTAGTCAAGAAGTTTCTCAAGAGTCTTCCAAGAAAGAAGTATATACAGATCGTAGCTTCTCTCTAACAAGTTTTAGACTTGAAAAACACAAGTTTTGAAGACAATGTCGGACGTATAAAAGTATACGAAGAACGTGTGTGTGATGATGAGGAAGATACTCAAGAGGATCAAAGCAAACTAATGTACACTAGTACAGATTCAAGCTACCATGGAGATTCAAGAAACAGGGGACGTAGAAAAAGAGGATCCTAAAAGGGAAGAGGACGAGGACGGAATGGTGGCAGAGATGCATCACAAATAACATGTTTCAGATGTGATAAACTTGACCACTATGCCTCGTATTGTCCTGATCGATTGTTGAAATTGCAAGAAACACAAGAGATTGATAACTCAAGTACCGGATGAGCTTATGATGCATGAGGTGGTTTATCTAAACGAGCAAAGTTGTGTGCCAAGCAAATTTGAAACAATCATTGATGGAGGGAATGTTTGGTACCTCGACAACGAAGCTAGTAACCACATGACAGGAGATCGTAGGTACTTTGATTAAATAGACCATTCTATTACAGCGAAAGTACGCTTTGGAGATGATTCACGCATTGATATCAAGGGAAAGGGCACAATAGCTTTCATAAACTTGAATGGTCAACCAAGAGTGATGACAAATGTCTACTTTATTCCTGATCTAAAGAGCAACATAATAAGCCTTGGACAAGCTACCGAGTCAGGATGTGAGATAAGACTAAAGGACGGATATCTAACTATGCATGATCAAGAAGGAAAGCTGTTAGTGAAAGTCGAGAGGTCTAAGAATCGTCTATACAAAGTGAGAATGGGCTTGAGAAACAATGAATGTTTGTACTTGACAACTACAAGTAACTCAAGTTTGTGGCACGCAAGGATGGGACATGTGAATCTTACTACTCTAAAGTCTATGATAGACAAGGAATTGGTCCAAGGAGCTCCAAGTCTAGTGATTGAGTCGGAAGTTTGTGGTTCTTTCTTACTTGGGAAGCAAATAAGACAATCATTCCAACAAGCGACTGTCTTTAGAGCAACCAAGAAGCTTGAGCTTATTATACATGGAGATCTTTGTGGTCCAATAACCCCAAGCTGGAAACCGCTATATCTTTGTTCTCATTGATGACTACTCTCGTTACATGTGGACAATGTTGTTAAAAGAGAAAGGAGATGCTTTTCACAAGTTCAATAACTTTATAACTTTGGTGGAAAAGGAATCTGGAGAGAAGATTCAAGCCTTCAGAATAGACAGAGGAGGAGAGTTTGTATCTGGAGAGTTCAATTCTTTTTGTGAAGAGACAGGGATAAGAAGGCATCTCATTGGTCCATATACCCCACAGCAGAACATCGTAGTAGAGAGACGTAACAGGACCTTATTGGAGATGGAGAGAAGCATACTTAAACACATGCATATGCCGAATTTCTTATGGGGGGAAGTCATAAGACATTCTACCTATCTTTTAAACAGAATCGCAACAAGAGTTCTTACGTACATAACCACCCCACATGAATGCTTTCGAGAGAAGAAACCATTCGTTGATCACATACGGATTTTTGGTTGTACGGCATATGCAAAGATAGATAAGCAACACTTGAGGAAACTAGATGATAGATCTCGGATACTTATTCATCTAGGAACAGAGCCGGGATCAAAAGCTTATAGACTACTCGACCCACAAGAAAAGAAAGTAGTAGTCAGCCGTGATGTAATCTTTGATGAGACAAAGGGCTGGAATTGGACAAGAGAGAACTCAACACAAGACGGTGATGGAAGCTTCAAGGTCATGATTGAAGATTTCGGGACTCATAGACTTCAAGAGACATAAGATAATACTGAAATAGACCAAAATTTAGAAGAGAAAAACCAGAATGATGAGTCCGATTCTGAAACAAGTCATGAAGTAATACAAGAAACAACAAAATCAAGTGAAAGTGTTCCTGCTTTACCAGCATTGAGAAGAACAACAAGGCAGGTTAGTAAACCAAAATATCTTGAGGACTATGTTTTGCTTACGGAAGAGGAAGGTGAGATGTTACTCTTAGCTTTAAAGAATGAGCCTTGAAGTTTCTATGAAGCAAAAGAACAAAAGGAATGGATATGTGCTTGTGAGGAAGAAATCAACTCTAGTGAAAGGCTAGGAACATGGAATCTCGTGGATTTGCCAATTGGAGTGAAACCGATTGGACTGAAGTGGGTATTCAAACTCAAAAGAAACTCTGATGGAAGCATAAACAATTACAAGGCTCGTCTTGTTGCTAAAGGGTATGTACAAAAGTATGGAGTTGATTTCGAAGAAGTCTTTGCCTAATTGTTTGGTCATTGTTAGACCTAAGTTCTGTTTTCTAGCTTTTGTTACACATTTTGAGAGAAGAATCCAATCCCTTTAGAGAGGATTCTGAACTCCTTTGCTATTATTCTTAATTCATCAATGAAAAGTATTCAGATTATGATTTGGGTTTCTATTGTCATGTCTGAGTAATCACCTTGTTGGGTTTAGGGAGTCTCAATAGGGATTTAGATGGATTAGCTCATTCAAATTTGATATAGCTCAAATTGCCTTAAGCTTACTCCCTCAAATAAGAGATCGCCGTTAGCACTTAAGGGTCAA